TAAGGTAACTTCTTGCACCTAAAAAGTAGTAATTGATTTGACATTACGTAGAAAGTAAACAATCAATATAGATTTATTCGGAATTATATACCAAAAACTAGAATTATAATAAATAGAATTAGAAGCAACATAGAACACATACAACTTATTAAAATATAGCACTGTATCTCTGATAAGTGTGGTTATATCCATTTCTTCTGATAATTATTTCGGCTAGTTCATGATTACTATTACTCTAGGGCGGGTATAATAAATATCCCTTCTCACCAAAATACTTCCTAATATGTGTCGTGTGTTGTCCAAAACATTTTCTTTATTCGTCCGTAAAATCACATTTTAAAGTCTTCCAATTTAGTTCTAAACCTTGTTTTAAGCACTTTAGTATTGAGCACGCTTATAAGAAATAGCCAGCGAAGGCCAATATTCAAATTACTGACAGTAAATGTATTTGAAAGTTTCATAAACTTGTTAAGTGCTATTTCTATTCTACCTTTTAATTTTTGCTGTAGGTTTCTGTTTTCGTTATTATTTTCAGAAGGATCTAGATCATTTTATTTTTAAACGAGTTAGATATTTTGTGTTCTCATCCATTGGGACCATTTCTTATTTCATTGCAAAACTTAAAGAAAATTGCATTTCTTCTGCACAATAGTATCTATGTATATATTTTTGCTCTGTCAATGATGAGTACCGAAGATTTTTGGTTTTACAAGATGGAGGTTCACAAGATGGAGGTTCACAAGATGTGACATTTTAAGTTATCTTTGGGCAAACATATCAGAGACATTAGACTTAGATATAATTTATAGAGGCTGCTAAGGAACTTAGATTGTCTTTTTTTTAATCCAGTTCGTCATCTCTTTAAGAAAATCCATACGGTCTACGTATTCTTGTTATGTCTATCATTTTATCTCATCCTATCTTCTTTGACTAAATGAATAAATTAAATGTTCGTTTCGCCTTTTGGAAATCATCTGTCTTAATTTTAGCAGCCTCGATAATGTAACTGTAGAGGATGTTTATTAATTGAGTGCCGAGATACTTAAGGGGTGCAAAGACTAGCCTGTCTTATAATAACAGGGGCATTTAGAACTACGCCCGCAGCAGCAATGGAGATACTGCTAGGTCTTCCTCCACTACACCTTGTGGTAGAGAAGGAGGCAAAGGCGGCGGAATACAAACTGTTTACTAATGGATTAGGATGGGAACTTTCGAGAAAAGGACACCACACTATTATATTATTAGAAAAATTAAAACAAAATCCGGTACTAAGAATGCCATCGGATAGAACGCCCATTATTCACGACTTCAGAAAATCTTTCGATATTCAAATACCAGAAAGGGCCAAAAGCCGTAAAAATAGGGAAAACAAAACGAATCAATCTGGTATACAGACGGTTCGAAAATGAAAAACAGCACAGGAGCTGGGATCTACCATGTGAACTCAGGTAGGACAATTAGTCTGAACCTGGGGTCACTGACAACACCAGGGTGAACTAACAACAATATTTGCCTGTGCTAAAGTCATGCTAAATGACTCCCTTAGAGATAAGAGGATCTTTATCATGACATACAGTCAGGCAGCCCTTAAAGCACTGAAAAGGGTAGGAGTTGGCAATCAATAGTTGATTGCCAAGAGTCCCTTCAGGCCCTGGCAGGACATAACAAGGTCACCCTTGAATGGGTTCCAAGACATGAGGGAGTGTTTGGAAATGAGACAGCGGACCTTCTAGCAAGGAATGGAGTGGAAAAAACTCTTATTGGACCAGAACATACATGTTGCATCTCATACCAATATGTTAAATGGGTGTTAAATGAACAAATAAATAGAGAACACCATAGGCTCTGGTTGGAACTTCCTGGACTTAGACAGTCCAAAAGATTCATAGAGGGGCCATCCACGAGCAGACAAAATCAACTGCTAATCCTTAGCAGAAGCGACCTCAAGGCCGTAATAGGACTCCTTACGGGACACTGCGGCCTTAGAATACACCTAAATCTCTTAGGGATATCTGATGACTCCCTATGTAGAATATGTGAAGAGGAGGACGAAACTATTATTCACATACTATGTCACTGTCGGAACCTTAAATGGGAATGGCAATGGTACTTCGGGGTATAATATCTGGAACCTGAAGAAATCGCGAAAGCGCTCAACAGTCATATTCGTGAATTCATCAAGAAAATCAATCTGATAGAATAGAAACTGTGAGGGGTACAATAAGCCTAGAGAATAAGTACAAGTGAGCTTTGAAACGCGCCCTAATTCAGATAGATAGATAAGGTTTTGAATCCTTGAGTGATTTTAAGAAGAAAAGTTAATATCAACATATTCGTAAACCTCTTAATTTTTGAGATACAGCGTGTTGCAGTTTTAAGATAAAAATTATATTTGTGCCATAATTTTGTTATCACTCGAGATATTTTTATGAAATTTTGTACACGCCTTTGAATCATTAAGTATCATTTTTTTAATTTAAAAGATTTTTATACGTCATTTGAACTGAATATTTTTAAAGAAAAAATGGTACGTCACTGTTTTTTCTAAAAACAAAAATTATTCTTAAAATCCTCATTTATTTTTAAGATAATTTAGTCTATCGGCGCACCATTTTCGCATAAAAAAATAAAAACTATCAAATGTTTTTTCTTAAATTAAACTGCTGTTGATATTTTGATGAAATTTGGTGGACACTTACCATGCGTGGAAAAACTTCTTTTGGAGCAAAAATTAATGTTATACTCCCACTAGTGACGTCCACGTAGAGAATATTTGGATAAAAAAAACCGGTACTCCTCTGATTTCTTAAATTCTATTTTAAAAATCGCGATTCATTTAGTAAAACGACAAATTTAAAATATTAAATCTAAAGCAAAATGAAAAGAGAATAAAAACAAAATGAAGAACTCAAATTATTTAGAGCAATTGTTGGAAGTGTCCTTCACCAATATGTATGCAAGCATCTACTCTCCTTTTCTTCGCATAGATGACGCACATTTTTGAAGATTGCTGGGACATTTTTTATAATTTGGCGGCATACTATTATACGATGCTGTAACTCTTCTTCGGTTTAAATTGGCACTGCGTACACTAAGCAGATAAGTAGTCTCAAGTATTAAGATCAAGATATCTAGGTGGCCATGACTGCGTTTCTCCGCGACCTATCCACCAATTACAATAGGTGTGATTTAAAAATTTAGACGCCACGTCTATTAGCCAATCTTAATAATGTGTGTTTCATAGGTTGTGCGAAAATTTCTAAGGCAAAATATTTTCAAACTGAAATAACTTTATTCAAAATCCATTTTTACCTTACAACTAGGAATCTGTATAAAAACATAAATTAATTATTTAATAATATGTAGTGGTCGATGCTGCTCCATAAGCCTCATGTTCCTACGGACGTTCCTCATAAGTGTTTGAGTATCCTCAGCGTCAAATTTTCGAACATTAGAAGTCATAGTAGGTCTCCGTTTTGAGCAGACCATCCATTGTCGTACACTTTTGGTTACAATAGTGCCTAAGGTAAGTTAGGAGTGTTATCAATTTTCGGAACGTATGGAATATTCTGTTGTCTAAGTCAGTTTTGCGTTTGTCTCGCATAATGACATGATGCCAAGTCGGTCCAAAATATTATTTCGTCAATAAAATTGGCCAACAACAGTTGTCAATATAGTACCTACTATTTAGTGCCTCGCCCCTAACATGACCAATATATGGCCTTTCAAAGCCCTATAAAGATATAGCACACCACACCAAATTTTTTTCTGCAAATTTTGCTTTTACCTTGAACCTTACATTGTCTGGACATTCTTCTATGTTATCTGTATAAAATCTATTGTTTCCTTTCATTTCGGAGTTCTCCAAAGTAAAATTCTTGTCATCATCAATAATAATCGACTTGTTATTTGCAAAGTCGAAGATTTCGGCAGCATCGTGGTATTCTGTTTTTTGTTCTTCTCACTATTCTACGGAACTGAAATGATGTGGTATTCCACTTTTCGGCAGATTTTGGCATGTAATTCCCTGTTCGCAATCTGCTGTGGTCCGGTATATGGTACTGACCGATATATCTCGGTCTTGAAAAATTGGAACAATTTTAACCTTAGGTATTTAAGTAAGTGTAGATATGATTGTCCATCAAGTCTTCTTGGGAGAAAAATGGGCTCATCAAATAATCATCAATAACGCCAGCCCAAACATTTATTGAGAACCGTTCCTAATGTGTTTATTCAACAATTGCATAAGGATTTTCATCCATCCATAAATGGTTATTATGGAAATTTACTATTGAGTTTCAAGAAAATTTCGCTCATGCGCGTGTAAAGGGAGAAAAGTAAAAAATAATAGTATTGAGATATATTGGTTCTTAAATTGATCCAATTTTCAGTTGAATTTTGTGAAAAAAAATATAAATTAAACCAATATTGATTGAGCAACACGTTCGTTTTGTTGTAAAGCTTAAAATATCATGCTTAACCCGAAGAAAAACATGTTGGTTAAAAAAACAAACATAACTCAGAATAAACAAAAAATTAATTCCTTTTACACAAATCATCATCTGAAGAAGCTTCATCTAAATCTGGTAAAGTGATATTTCTCTTAGTAGGTAGATTTTTTAAAAGCTGTGAAATAATTTATCGACCTAGGGAGTAGTTCGATCAAATTGTTTTTCTTCTCCTCTGATATACAGTTTGAATATTTGCATTTTAGAAGATCTGCAGGAAGAGAGGAGTTTGACCTCTTCTACAAAATATCTTTTTGAAAGATTCGTTTTCGTTGTGGCTATTTTTGTAGGAAAATATACAAATTATCATGATCATATACAGTTCTAGCTTGTAGACACAAGGCGAAATTAATAAAATCATCCTTTTTCATTTCCTGTACTTTCAACGTATGCTTTTTTACCACATAATCTTACCAACTGAAAGCAGTCCATGGAGTATTCGATAAGACACTCACAATGCTATTTTTATTTCTTAATAATTCTCGTGTGACCTTATTTTAAGAATGTGTGCTCAACTATCTCAAAATTTGAATTTTGCATCAAAGTCATAAACATCGTAACTATGTGATTATTTTTGTTCTGATCACCACAAGTATCCGAATAGAAGGTCACATGCTTAATATTCGGTGGTAAAGTCAAAAGTTCTTTATACAAACAAGAATTGACCTGATTTGAACCTCTACCAGATTGTGCTTCGTACCACATACAACAGGAAGTTCTGTTATTGGCGCAATTATACATTGTTAAGTTGTAGGTCCATAGTGGGTGCTTGTAAAACGCCACTGATGTGGTCAGACTTGAAGACGACAGGAATTGCTGCCAGACAAACGTGAATACGGCTTTGGACTCGTCTAGTTTTCCTGTTTCCTTATTCTGTTTTTTGCAGAATATGCATTTCCAGCTTCCTGTTGATGTTTGTTCAATTTTGATACTTTCTTTTTCTAGATGACATTTCGTATTTCTTATTATACACTGCATTTTGTCACATTTATAGCATGTGTCATTACGGAAATTTTTTATTTATATTTTAATTGTATATCAAATGGATTCGTAAACTTTTTTACCGACAGGGATTTGGGGCGAAATCCAAATTTTTTATTCGTCATAGAACCTTGTGAGATGATCTGTATCTGTAACCTGTGGAGGGTAGCTAACCCCCACGGCACTTAGGCCTCATTAGGCCTTTGTACATCTTCCTAAGATGATAGGCAACTCCTAGCTCGTGAGCCAGCCTACATATTTAATGTAGTTGACAACGTCGCCAAGAGGTGCTTCTCTTATATCGACCGGTGTTAGCCGATACTCGCTGAACACAAATCTAATAAATGAGAGCGTCGAGCAATCGTAAAGGATATGCTCGATAGTCTCATTTTCTTGTGATGATTCCGCACTTGGCAATGACTAGTCAGAATGCCTGTAACTAGGCGCAGATTCTGTCTAGTCATAGTCAAGTATTTGTTTGATGCAGTGTTGTCAGGATAACTTAGGAGCTCCCTTGCAACTCTGCAGTTTCTTGTTTCATCCCATTTTTCATTGAATTTTACAAGGGAATGTTCTATTATTAGGTCTGTTACTACCAATTTTGTTAGGCCAATAGAAGGGCTAGGTCCAAAAAGTATTTGTTTGGCTGTTTTCTTGGCTAGTGAATCAGCAAGACGGTTAACTTTCGATGTGGCGTGACCTTTGATCCATCTTAAAGTGACCACATTGTTGATGGATACTTCGGCCAAAGCTTAGTGGCATTCTAGTACTAACTCTGACTAAATTAGTGGTCTATTCAGGGTAAGTAGTACTTGTCTGCTATCTGCATAGATGAGCATGTTCCTTTCAGTGATATTGTTTCTGGTTATTTCTTTTGTTGCTATGAGAATCCCCGTTAGCTCTGTTTGAACTACTTTGGCACTTTTGCTATTATGTTTGGGAATCTGGAGTATATTTCACATCCTGAGCCTTGTTTTCTTTTAGAACCGTGGGTGTATACATGAATCGTACCTGCTTCTTTCGGCTCTTCTATTTGTTCTATTATAATTTTATATGGCTTATGGAAGATATATCTTGGCTTGAAGCAGTGGGAGCGTATCGAGTGCCTCCTGCCAAAAGCGACGTCTCGCCTTACCAGATCCTGCATCAGGTTCTGTGCTAACCGTGCGAAGGCGTATCATTTTTGTCAGAGCAACCTCCTTGATGTAAATATGTAAAGAAAGATAATTAAAGGACATTTTAGGAGATAACTCGCTTTGACTCGGATGGTACTTAATAATTTCTAAATGTTAGTTATGATAACTCAAGATAGGTTGCCTTTGTACATTAAAAACGAGTCTCGATTTACACAAAACTAAAAACTAGTACAAAGGAAAATATATTAATTTACCTTCTTTAGCACACAAATACCCTTTTATGTACCATCTTGTTTTTCGTAATTAACTCAAAATGCACTTTTTCGAACTTGGTCTCCCTTTGCACGCACATGAGCAAATTAGTTTTGAAGAAATCACTCACATAAATTAATGCGCAATGGAAAATCGATAGGGGGTAATGACTGGACTGTACTTGTTTGAAAAATTATCATCAACATTTTTCTACAAGTCATGTGAAACATTTTTCCCTTGCTAGTTTTCGGGTACTCCTCAATTTTATGTTAAATTCCTTCTTCAAGTACCGGTATTCTTACTGTTTATTAGACTCTAGCTCTGTGGTCTAATGTTAAAGTTCCGGTCTCGTAAAGACGTCTATGAATCCTAGAAAGTGTTCTCAGATCGGGTAGTATGCGATTTGGATACCGATCTTGGTATATCCGCGTGACTTCGTATGCATTTCCTTCTGCATGCCCATAAGTAAAATGCATGTCAGCTAATTCAGCTCCAAATGAGGATTTCAAAAATAATTTAAATTTTTGAAAAATCAGTGGCGTACCATTTTTTCTTTAAAAATATTTAGTTCAAACCCCGTACGAATATTACATTGTAAAAATTTAAAAAAACTTCTATTAAAAAAAATTCTCCTTAATGATCAAAAGGTTTGTTCAAAATTTCATGAAAATATTTAGAATGATAAGAAAATTATGAATAAGAAAGTAAGCTTAAAAATTAGGAGATTTACCATACATGTTGATATAAACTTTTCTTCTTAAAATCATCTAAGAATTCACACCCTTAAGTATCTTGGCACTCAATTAATAAACACCCCGTATACATCTTTTTTGATTTTCTTCACCTAGGTTAAAAACACTAATTATTGTTGCACATTCTTCATTGCAGAACCCGCACAGTTTTGTTTCTTGTGATTAATTAGGTGATCAATCCTGTATGTCAGAATATTTTATTTTATCAATTAGGTTATTAACATTTCACTAAATTTTGTTGGCATTAAATGGATATAGTAAAACTTAATTGTAAAAAAATATAATTTCTATTAAGGTAGTAGTGAAGTAATAATATACACGTATAGCTGACAAAAGACTACATGTAAAGATATACCAGGAGCAATAATAAAATGTTGATATAGTAAAACAAATATTAGGTACATGATTTTGAGATAAAATTACACATTTGAAGTCAGCGTTATGCAGATTTAAATAATTATTCATATAGTAGTAGATTTTTATATATTACTTAATGCCAATAATAAATATTTAAATAATAAGTATGATTCCTTGTGATATATAGAAAAAAAGAAAGTATTCGTGAATTAAATTACTTGAATATACAGTAATTTAAAAAATTATCGGCAATAAACGAAAATTGCTTTTTAAAGTCACAAGCTGTTGGTGTTAATTCTTGTAATTCTATGTAAAAACCGTCATGTCTCCTTTGGTCCTCCCGCCTATATATTTAAACAGCTTTTTCGCCAAAGTTTGTTCATTTGAAAAGAAATATTCGGCTTAGAATTTAGACAAACCTAATGGTTGTAAAGTCAAATATATTTTCCTTCTGAATAAACTGTAAATGTAGAAAAATAATATTATTTTTAAATATAATTCGTTAAATGTAACAAGCTTTTGCAAAGGTATATAAAAATAATTAAAGCAGCTTTATTTATTTACTCAAGTGCTTTTTATATAAAATTAAAAAGTATTACATAGATTATTCGTTTTCCAAGTTTATTAACTATCAAAGCGTTTATGAAAATTTCTAGTTCATTTAGAAACATAGATGTTACATAAAATTACTAAAATGATCAAATATGGGACCACTATTTAACTTATCAAAAGTGAGATATAATTTTAAAATATTTCTTAAACCCAATAATGATGAAGGAAACAAAAAACAAAATATTGCTGGTATAATAGGCAGACAAAATTTGACCCGCATATCACTTATATAGGTTAGGAAAAATATACGAACCATAGGGTATAGGCACGCCCATACCTTTATTTTGTGTATGACGCCAACATCTGCAAATTTAAATATCTACCTCCTCGCCTGCGTTTGATATTGCATACTTTTATCAATCATTATTTACAAGTAAAAATAATTTATCATTATTCAAATAACTCTTGTGTAGAAAATTTTAAAAACAAGTTTTATCTAGTTTTCCAACTGGGTACTACTCTTGTAAATGTTTTTCTGACTACCAATAATTGAGGGCCTTAGAATAAAAAGGGTATAAAACCTTTTTATCCCAACTTTTTTTGTTTCGCTAAAAAATCTTTAGTATACAAATAGGAATTTACTTTAAGAAATACAAAAAGTTGTAAACATTATTCGTAATCGGAGTACAAAATAAAGTCTAGATTCTCATTTTCGTTATTTTCTTTAAACGCGTCTTTTAATGCTAACTTCGGTCTTCCATCTGCTTTAGCAGGATATAAGCATCTGTTAAAAGAAAACTCTGGTTTCAGAGTACCTTTAATAAGAAAAGCAGAATGTCTCTGCATCCTTTGTAAAAAAGAAGTATTAAATTTCTCTCCATTTAATAGCACGTTTTTCTGTGTCTTTTTTTGGGTCGCTAATATTTTTCAACTTTCTTGTCCATTTCATTAACCGTTAATTTTTTACATGAACTCTTTATTACTTGTTTTTAGTATTCTGGAACAAAGACCTGAGGACTCTTTCGTTCTACCTTCTCTATGATACCAAAATCTTGATCACACTCCATAAATGTATGTTTTGGTTCCAAAAACTGGTGGTGAATTTCTTGAATTCTTGTAGCTTTGACCAAGTACATGAAAAGCTTAACAATATTTTAATTTTTATTCTGCCCTCCACAGAAATTGCTATAAGCACTAATGTTTGCAATATTTTATGGAATTTTATTAGTTACGTAATAAATTAGACACGATCCAATTTCTGGCGAGCCTCGCGAAGCAAATGTTTCATACCAAACGTACATGTCGGACTTTCATATCACGAAGTTATATATACAGAAGTTGTAAGTCCACAGTTGCCTTAGATAAAACTTTTTGAGGTAGTTAAAGGTGGAGTTGGTAAAGCCTGTTGAAGGTTGAAACAAATTACAAAAGTAACTGTTGAGTCTTTATTTAGATTTGAGTCTATTTGTTTTGAAGCTCGTGCCTTTTCAGTCTTTCTGTGATGAACCATCTGCCTTTGCGTTATTAACTTTATCTGCATTCTTAGAATTTGTAATAACATTATTAAAACTATCACACTTACTGCATTTATCAGAATTAGGTCGGTGGAATCTTAAATTAAACTCTGTGTTAAAAATATCTCGGTAATATGACTGTTTAGTAGGGTCAATTTTTTCTTTTCCTTACAGACTTCAATATACAAATCGTACATTTTTTCAATAGTAGACTCTGGTGATAAATACTAAGTATTAAAATTTGAATATCTAGATTAATAACTCCTATATTTTGGAAACATTTTAATGTGTTCAGTTACCAGTTTTCGTTTTCTTAAATCCATTTTGTTTTTTCTAGGACCTTGACCCCTCTTGTCTTTTCCACAAATGCCAACAGGGCTACTCTTTTTCCAAACAATAGTAACAATTTTGTTACTAATATCAGGACTGAAACT